AGAATGTTGCCTTTGCTATTATCCTACGGCACCGTCGCAAGAAGAAAAGGAGCTGATGAGCCCCTCTGTAAACTGTCAGGCCCAATATGAACGAACCCCTGCAACGGGATTGCCAGTTGGCTCGGAGGCCACCCCTTCCTGCTCCAGCTACGGAGACTGGACCCGTGTGAGGCAATGATTCTGGATAACAGTTTCTGCCCCAGGCACCTACATTTTGTATTGGAAGGTCACTCGAAGTTCAAGTCTTGAGGGGAAGATGAAGAAGCTGATTTTTGCCCCATCCAGCCTCATCAACACTAAAGCTAACACTCCCTGACTCCCATGTCCACTTCTCGATTGGATCCAAACTCAGAGAAGATTTAGTGGCGTGAATGATGAATTTTCCCATGACCACAGCCATTGTTCCCATCCCATAGGCCAGCATCACCTGCTGGGGTGCAGCTCCCTCCTGGACTCTTGGGCCCCTGGACACTGACGTCATTTCATGATTCTTGGCATCTACCGGGAGGGGGTACATTGCCAGGGCCTGATAAATGTCTCGTCCATTCATTAATTCATTTGGAGGTAGAAGGGCTAGTGTTCCATGAGTTACCCCAGAAGGCTGAAGAAAGGTTGAGGAGGAGTGGATGGCTGTGCCTGGGGGACTCTGGGAGGCCAGGCCACTCGGCCCATGTAGAGCACAAGAGCCTCGGCCCACAACAGCACACTCTCCAGCCCAGTTGCCCCACTCTGGGCCAGGAGTGTCAGGGCTCCCGGGAAAGGCTGGGAGCTGTCACCTTGGCCTGCTCAGGGCCATGGCACGTGACAGAAACCATAGGCAATGGGCTCCTATGCCAATCATCTTGTGCTCTGCAGACAGATGGTCTGGGGAGCCTGGGTGACAGCCTTCAAAAGGGACCAGAGACAGAGACCATCCCAGTGCTGAGCAGCAGAAACAGAGATTATATCAATAGTGTTGATGATGTTATAACTGGATGTGCACAAGCAAAGGGCCTCAGGTTGGTCTTTAGTCCCCTGAATCCCAAGACAGAATGGGACCCTGTTGATGCCTCTAGGACCCTTTTTCTGCCCATGCCCTCCTGGGACCTATAGAGTAATTTTCAGACACTAGACCATCTGCCCTTGGATACCTCTTTCTATTCAGGCTGGGAAAACCAGGACACAGGAAAAGAATGGCCTAGAAGGCAAAGGTGGAAGCCGCTTCCATCTCCCACAAGCACCAGAAAACACCTGGGCTGCTTCTCCATCCTCTACACCCAACATCCACTCAGAGATTTGTATTTGCCACGCATAGAATTCACAGTCACACATTCCCCTGAGGAGGCCCCTCCAGCTGCCATCCCTTATCTCTGATGTGGGCTCCGCCCACCTTCCCCGATTCACCTGGAAGAAAAACAGCAGGGAGCTCTCTGGGGGCCTGCAGACTGAGGCTCCAGCCTCACACTGCAACACTTCTCCCTCTGTCTGGTCATCAGACCGTGGCCCACCACGTGGCTCCACGGAAGTTCCACAGCACGCTAGCCCAAGTCACACAGATGTTCTCTTTCCACGCCACCTCATCTTCCTTGAACACAGGCAGAAGAGGTTAGGAAACCCAAGGCTTATACTGTTCCCTGCTCTGAGTGCTGGAGACCTGAGTTCAGGGGAAGGAATGGGGATCCCAAGAAATGGGAGGGGCCGGAACACCCTGAAGAATACCACGGGATGAGCATCCTATCCTTAGGGAATGAAGATAACAGGAACACAATAAAAATGAGTCACTAGTCAAGAAGTACAAACTTCCAGCTATAAAATAAGTAAGTCCTGGAGATGTAATGTACTGCCCAGTGCCTATATCGTTAAGATACTGTATCGTATATTTGAAAGTTGCTAAGAGAATAGCTCTTAAAAGTTCTCATCACAAAAAAAAGACATTTGTAACTATGTGTGGTTAACCAGACTTAGTGTGGTGATCACTTTGCAATACCTATAAATATCGAATCATTACGTTGTACCCCTGAAACCAATAAAATGTCATGTGTCAGTTATATCCCAGTTAAAAAAATGAACCACTAATCATTCCTTCTCAAACTCTTTGGGCTGTAATTATGATAAAGCCCACAGGGAACACCTAGCCTACAAAACACAAGTCTTAAAAGTCAACCTCCTGGGCCTATGCTGCCCTCCTCTGCTGTCTTACAGAGGGAACACTGCAGGACAGAGGCCATCTGAGATTCTGTCCCACTCCACAGGCCTCCAGGGAATCTTGGACTCAGAGGCAAAAGAGAACTCTGGATTCCTCTTGTCCATCCTTGCCCCAGGGCAGGAAGGGAGAAAGGAAAGGAACCCTACAGCCACGTGAATGGATGGAGGAAAAGCTGGGTTTGCAAACGGTGTGCCCATGAGGGCTCCTCCCTGGGGAGGCCCAGGCCTCTGGCCTGGCTGATGGCAGGGGGAACATGTGTGGTCTGAGCTGGGGCCAAATGAATTATAGCTGAGCACCTGAGCACCAGAACAAAGTAATCCAAACGTTGGCCGAATCAAAGGAAACTGATACTTGACATTACAAGCTGGCGTGGCCTTTTATACTGGCTGAGGAGACAGCCCAGCCCGGTGTGGAGTTTCTGGCCTCCTCCTTTCTGCTCTCAGCCCTGAACTTGCCTCGAACTTGAAAGGGCTAATTAAAGCCCAAAGAAAAATCAAAAGCTTGTCATCTGGCTCCATGACTCCTAGCCCTGGCATTAGCCTGTCTTGCAAAGCTATTATCCCTCTGTTCTATCCAAGGCCACCATGCGGCCTTAGGACCTGCAGCTCTGCAGACTTCCATGATGAACTTTGCTTTTTGTACTGTGGCAGGGAGCAAGGGCGGGCCAAACACCTGCCCATGGGCAGCCAGGTTGATCCCTGCAGCTGATTGTACTCCCAAAAGCATCACCTGAAAAGACGGAATTTGAGCAAGTTTTCTACAGAAAAGCATCTACAGAAAAAATAGCCAACACATCTGATCTCGAAAGAACTAGCTGTTTCATAAGCACACAGTGTAAACTTGCATTTTCGAAGCTAGGGTGTGCATGTGTGTGTGCATGCTTGTGGGGGTATTTACTGCATGTGTGCACACACGCATGGGTAGTGTGCATGTGTGCATGTGTGTGCATGCATGTGTGCAAGTGGGATTTTCCTCAAGAGGCAACGGAGACTTCCCTCAAGTGCTGTGTCTGCCGTTCTTTCCCAAAATATGTGACCTTGGGCAATTTATTAACCTTGTTGGGCCTCAGAATGAGAGTATAAACCAGAAGATCTCTAAGGGCCTTCCCCATGCCAGCTTCCTAATGCATCTCCCCCAAGAAGTTGTGCTTGAACATGTAACATACATCCATACAGCACAGCACCTGGCCTGTCTTTTATAGCCTGCATTTGGGAGAAGTCCATGGCCCCCAAGTTTATAAACCTGTCTCCTCAACTCTCCTGGGTGGATCAGCCACTGCCCCAAACCAAAGGCTCCCAAAGATATGTCATCCATTAGGGCTCGGCGGGTACAATGGAGTCCCCTCCACTCTCTGGCCTGGCCATGATTGTCAACTGATTGCTTCCTTCTCTGGCCCATGGTACCTCTCCCATTTCCTCTGTGACACTAGGAGTCTCTTGGCTTCTCAGGACCTCCAGAAATAAATGGCATCTTTTAGTTTCAGCCCAGACACCTGAAAAACTCACCACTGGAAAACAGCCTGAGCCTAAATGTTAGGGCACCAAAGACCAACCTTGCCAAATCCCTGCTTTCTCCTCCATCTCCGCTACCCCCAACCCGGAGTCCCAGTGCCCACAGGACTGGCCCCCAACCTGCCTGGGTGCCAGTGCCCTCTGAGATGTGCTTGGCAAGTAGCCATACTTCATGAAAGGAAACTTAGACTTTTAAAGTCAATGAAAATACATTTTCCTAATGTGGAATTCCATCGAAGTTGGACTGGCCATCAAGAATCACATCCATGCAAATACACTTCTACCTGTGTGTGAATTCTCCTTTCTTCTCTCTAATTATGATCACAGGATAGATTTTTCTCCAACTAGATTCATGATTTTTTAAGTGAATGATAAAAAGGAGAAAGGAGAGGGACACGGGGTATAGAAGATGAAGATGCTCATAACTGAGCTTCTAAGTCCCTGCAATCATTTTCAAGATGAACAGAAGTCCAGCCACAGCAGGCCGGGCCACAAGTGAGTTAGGCTGGGGGAGGCAGGAGATCATGTCACCTGTTGCACCTGTGGCCACCCAGCAAGGCCCTGGGAAGGCCTCCTAAACCCACCCTTCATTCTCCGCCTCCCTCCGGTTTCCTTCAGCACTTCTCTCACCCAGTACTGTTTCAAGGCTGCTTGGCATGTCTCTTCCATGGAACTGGGCACACAGAAGATGCTCCAGAAATGCAGCCTCCTAAGCAAGCTCTCCTTTCGCCTCTATGTTCACTGGACTCCCACCCTACTTCTGCTCTCATTTTGCCCTTTCCTAAAGATACTCAAGGAACTAAAAACATAATACTCCTGAAGTTCTAGATCTATCCCAAATGTAGAATGCCTGGCTCCATTATTCCCACTACTGGTTTTATTCCAAGCTCCCAGGAAAGTGATTTGCAGGCACGGTCAGTACGAAGGTTGGGTACATGACTTGTACCAGAGGACGTGATAATCTGGCCTTAACAATGACTGGTACATATGATATCTATATAACAGAATTCCCACTTATTCCTAGCATGTCCTCCTATAACCATGAGCCAATATGGAATAGAGAAAAGTGCCCAGATAGGAGATCTACCTTTCAGGTCTACCTCCAACTCTGATAAGCTCAGTGTCACAGACAGAACACAACACATTTGAGTTGGTGCTGATCCGAGTCCAGGGAGACCCAGAGACGGGATGTACTTGTCTCACTTGCAAAATGGGATGGGTGATTCACATCCCATGGAAGCCCCAGGCTAGGGTCCCCCTGCCATACCATGCCTTCCTAGCCCATGGACCCTCCCCTTACTCACCGCGCTGCTGCAGGGAATGTCCTTCACCTTGAGCCAGGCTAGGTCCAGCGTACCCTCCCCCCGATAGCAGGACTGCAGTCGCTCCTTAATGCGATCGTTGATCTGCTTCAAGATGAAGATGCACAGGGCTGACTCATCCAGGGATTTCATTTTCCGCTTTTGGCCCTTGGAGAAGACAGTGAAGAGGAGGTCATCCTCTGGACGAACTCCAAGGGTCCGGGCGAGCACGGCACCAGCTTTGGACAGGTAGGCGGCCTGCAACAGGCGGTACTCGACCCCGCTGCGCTCACAACCAATGGGCACCTCCACATAGGAGTTGAAGGCCGTGTCCTCCTTGCAGAGCCTCACGAGCTTGGAGGTATAGACCTGTTCCTTTGTGGTAGAGCCTGGCGGAGACACCATCTCAGGCTGGAGGGTCAAAAAGTAGACAAAATTGCCGCTGCTGAAGCCATAGACATAGTAGATATCAAAGTCGGGGATGACAGTGAAGGTGTCCGAAGGAATCTTAATCATCGAGGCCACAAACTCATCATGGAAGACATAAGCGAACATGCCGTCTGCCTCGGAGTTCTTGGTCAGCTTCCGGCTGGAGATGGTGGGGAAGTACTCCGGCTTCCCGTCCACTGCAGTGGCGATGAAGAGCTTGTCGTCCAGGTTGCTGTAGGAGACGATTACTCCAAAGACGGAGCCACTCTCATTGACTCCCGACAGGTAGTGTTCCTTCTTGTGGAAAGGCTCCCCCAGCTTGAAGAGGTCCTCAAGCCTGAGAAGCTTGCAGATGCCTTGGTACAGGCTCCCACAGGCAATGAGCCTGTTCTCTTTGTAGTCTATCAGGAGCATCTTGTTGACATTGTTGGTGGTGGTCAGGGGCTCGTTGCACGTCTGGACGATGCGCGGTGGGTAACACTTAGGGTTGTCCTCATCCGGCCCTGTCTGGTGGGTCACCAAGACCTTCAGGTCACTGGAGAGCTTGTAGATCCGGTTGACGGCCCCCAAGTAAATGTGCCCTGTCCTCTCGTCCACCACCAGGTGGTTGAAACCCTCGGCTGGCTCCCCACGGAACGTGACAAAAGACCGCTTCGGGGACGGTGGGGGTGGCTGCCGGGGGAGCAGAGTGGAAGAGCCCATCCCTACCATCAGGAGATGGGAGAGAAGGCAAGTCCAGTTCCAAGGCATGGCTTTCATTTCAGAAACAGGTCCTCACGGCACGGCAGCACTCGGCACGAGGGTCCCCTTGGAGGGCCAGGACTCAGCAGTAGAGGCTCCCTACGGGGGAAAGCAAGGATGAGATACTGGACAACAATGGCAGCGGCCTAGTTTCACCCCACAGCTTGTGTGGCTGGACCCGAAAGTCCTCTGCACACGCTGAGACAGAGAACTGCCCTGGAGATGCTAAAGGCCAAGGGACTCTGCCCCCATGTGTGTGGGGACAGCCACGGCTGGGTGGCAGGAGGGCAACCTCAACAATAACAATAATGCTAGTAGTAATGATAATAGTGATGAGGATGATGATGAAGATGAAGAACAGCCACTGGCTACCTGATGCCTGGCTGTGGAACAGTCACTGTCCAGCACCTCCCAGAGACTGTCTCATTTCTTCGGACAAACCCTTCTGTGTTGGGTATCTTCCACCTGCCCCTCTAGATCCACTCACCCCCCTTCTCTGTGCCCGGGAGGCTGACCCAGGTCGACTGTACATGCATGGGCTGCCTGCCCTCGGGCCTGGTGGAGTGTCAGCAGAAGGCCGGCAGGAAGGGGAGGGGACAGCAGGGTGGGGGTGGGCTGCAGGCATTGGCTGCCACCCTCACCCCCAGGGCTCAGTGGCCCTAGGCACGCCTCCCCATGCCACCTCTCTATCTCCAGGTTCTGTGAACCACCTCCTGCCCACCCCCACTTGGTCCTACAGGAGGTAACGGGGCCTCACCGTTTCTACCCCAAATAGTGCTCTGCCTCTTAAGGAGCCACACCTTTGTGAAGAGCTCCTATATTAACCTTTGCACAAATAACCAGATTTGCATGTGCTGTCTCCTGCTGGGACCCTGACTCCTAGTCCTCTGAAGTAAGCAGTATCGCTATCCCCACCATGCAGCTTAGGGAAGTTATACAACTTGCATAGCTTATAAGTGGTAGAGGTGGATTCAAACCCAGGTGTGCAAGTTGACAGTGGGTTCTCATTCTTCACTGCTAATCCAGCTCAGTTTACCCTGGCCTGGGGCGGGTGGGGATGGACACCAGCTATGTTCATGCGCAGCAGAGCAGTTCAGACGACCCTTTCTCGGGGGCTGTCGGTTACAGCCCCAGCTCGCTGGGTCTACACCTACGCTTCTCCTTTACACCTCCCCACTGCCAAACCGGTGCATGAGGCTGATCCTGGATCCCTCTGCAGCATCCTGGATCCCTCTGCAGCATAGTGGCAACCGGGGCCTCCGGGTGCGCTGCCCAGCTCTGAGCTCTGATGTCATTTTAATGAGGCAGACCTTGGCTGCCTCCTACTGGGGCCTCCTCTGAGAGGTTTTCATTAAAGGGAGAGAACAAATGGCTTAAGAGGTGGTCCCGGACATAAACAAATAACTCCCCATGGGACCCAATAGCGCTTGGCCCTAACAATCTCATTCATTTCTATTCAAGAGGACGGCTTCATAGTTCTTCCAGTTTGAGAGAAACCAGGGCAGGAATGGCCTACATCTTATTTGGGGGCATCTCAGCTTTGCCGAATTTCTCCTGTTCACCCCCACATCCTCGATAACAGGATGGTAGGAAGAGGTAGACCACAGAGCAAGAGAACCCCCCCCACAGGGAGAGTGCAAGGTTCCTTGAAGGCCAAGAGAAGAAAGAAGAAAGCCAAGACTCAATGTCATCAGCTAAAATCCTGACAGAAACCCCAAGTCCTCTAAAGGGCATATCAGAGGAAGAGGTGGTTGCGTAGCCACAGTCCAGAGCAGTCCTGCCAGCCCGGGGCCTTCATTCACTCGCCCACATGATGGATATTGGCACAGGGCACACTCGGAACATGCAAAATGCTGCGGGATCCCAGGATAGCCAAGGCGGCTGGGGCCCTCCAAGAACTTGGGGTCAGGTCGGGTAGATGCCACCAGAACCTAACATGCAGACAGTGAAATGCTATGTGACAGATGGTAGAATGTTCCCATGAGGAATGCTGACTTCTAGCTTGGGGCAAGGGAGCAAGAAGGCTGTGGGATGGCATGTGGGCCTGGCTGGGAACTAAGGGAGAACACGCAGAGCTGGAAGAGAAGGGCCTCCTTGGGGAGGGGTCAGCATCGCAAAAGCCTATCAAATGGTGTGCAACCAGGGAGAGTCTGTCTGGAGAACAAGGTCAGGTAGGAGACAGGGCTGAAAGGGAAGCCCCGAGGCTTGTCAGGACATTCCCACCCTTCCACTGATTTAGCCTCTGCAGGAGGACTGGAGTTTGGGGCTGAGGGCTGTGGGCTCCGTGGGGGCAGGGAGGCCCGCCATGCTCACTGGTGAGTCCACAGTGCCAGGCTCATGCCCAACATACAGCCGAGACTCAAGACCTGTTCTCTGCTGGGCAGATAGAGGGGCTGGAAGCAAGGAGAAATGTCATCTGCCATACCCGGGCCCCACGTACAAGCCTGCACACCGACCCTCTTGCCTGATCAGGACAGCCGTCCACTGGGCTCGGGGTGGTTTCACCTGCTTCTCTGGTGGGGAGACTGTAGCTCTGTATAGGGCATGGGGCTAATAAGTGGCAGAGTTGGGGTTGAAGCCCAGGTCTGTATCAAACTGCAAAACCCATAGTCTTTCTAGAAACACACAATTCTAGAGTCCAGAATATAGAGCACATGGAAGCCCTTTTTAATCCATGTAAGTCCCCAAACAGAAAAACCCCAGGACGTCACCTGGTAACACCTCCCCACCAGCTCTGTAGGAGGAAGCCAAGCCCCTGGGACCCATGGGGCATAACCTGGCAGATAATATCCATCAGGCGGGCACCACTATTCACCTCTAAAAGTGTTCATGACATAAAGCACCTGGCACAGGGCCTTCGGCCTGGCAAGCAGCAAGTACTTATTAAATGATAGTTGTTGGTCTTGTTGACAATGAAATGAGATGAACAGGGTTAGGATTATGATAACAAGATGGTGCCTGATGGCACCATCCCAGTTGGAGTGATTACGACTCAGGGTGGCTCATCTTGAACTGTCTGTGCAAATCCAAGGATCAGAGAAAAATCTAGATGTTTTTCATCTGAAAGAGACAGTCCAGGGTAAAGATTTCCAATCTGTGATTTTAAAGACAAGGAAGTTGTGATCCAGAGAAGTTAAATGATTTGCAGAAGGTCACATAGTGAGTTGAAGCTGGGGGCGGCGTGAAGCTCAGGTCTCTGGACTCCCAGTCCAGTGCTCTTTCTACCACCTGCAGCCTGTCTTCCAACTTTGTCTGAACCCACTTCGGCACCTGCTCCCTGGCCTTTGTCTGGAGGACTCGCTCTTTGGGTGCCATATGTTCTGCTGGCTAACACAGCTCTCAGAACATTGCTGCCAACAATCAAATTCCAGCAGGACTAGTAATCCTCATTCCAGACAGGCAGGTGCCGGTCAGGGCTCAGCCACCAACTCTCTGGAGGGAACTTGCAGCAGTCCCCATATAGGAACCTGCCAGGCACCGGGGGAGGTGTGCCTGCCACACCCCTGCCCTTACTGTACACACTCACGGATCCACATGCCAATCAACAGTTCTCCAGTTCGCAAGAAGCGAGGCAAGGAAGCCTGCAATTATGAATTTACTGAGCAGAAAGGTGCCGGGGTTCTTTCTGCATCTTCTATTAGACACTGAAATGAGACACAGTTATGCATCTCAAATACTTATCACCCTCATCTGGGGATGGTGAAATTATTGCGCCCAGAAAGGGGGGCCCCCAGAGAAAACAATAACGTGTGATGGGAATAACCAGCCTCGCGTTTTACACACCACGGAAGGACTGATTAGAAGACAAGTAGCAGAGAAATGGAAGAGAAAAGGAACAAGCAAGGGTGTGCACTCCAGCTTGCCTCTGCAGGGTGTGACCCAACCAAAGCACCACCCCCCACCCGCCCCCAGCTCCAGATCCACAGGTAGGCAGAGCTGCCAGCCCCCTGCCTCCCAGGGCTGTCTGAGGCTACTCTGTCCCTGCAAGCTGGCCTGCCAGGGCAGCTCCATTCCAGGACATCTGTCCTCATAAGGTGGTAAGCCAACCTAGGAAACCCTGCTCCCAAGTCTACGTCCTGCCCACCATGTCTTGTCCGGGTCATCAATTAGCTGGTTTAAAAGTATTGGAGGTAGCATCAGCCCATCTCTGATTCTTGAAGGCAAGTGATGTGAATGAGTCACCCCAAGATTGCCCCCAAAGGCCTCACTGAACTAGCAGAGTGGGCAAGGGGCAGAAGGCTGGAGAACTGAAAGGCTCTGAATTGAACCCAAACATACTGCACTTTTCCCCTTCTTTGAAATCAGATTTATTTTTTAAGATTATTTATTTATTTATTTATTTGACAGAGAAAGACACAGAGAGGGAACATAAGCAGGGGGAGTGGGAGAGGGAGAAGCAGGCTTCCCACGGAGCAGGGAGCCCGATGCGGGTCTCGATCCCAGGACCCTGGGATCATGACCTGAGCTGAAGGCGGACGCTTGAAGACTGAGCCACCCAAGCGCCCCCGAAATCAGATTTTAATTCTGAATGATGGGACTCATTTTTAAAAGCTGATCATCATTTTGATTAAAGAAATTGGGGCTGTCTTTGTTTTATGTGGCAAGTGTTGAAGAGTTCAAACTCATTTTCATGAAATAGCACCATCTTCTCAGATTCCTGAGTGCTAGAGAAGAAAGTTATTATAGACTAGTTTAAAATGGCAATTACCTCACGAAATTACTTTGGAGTTTAAAAAACGTTTTCATATACATTACCTTGTTCCGATTTTATTGTTCACGACAACCCTGTCAGGTAGAAGTATTTGTAAGTATGTCTCCTTTACAAATAAGGAAACTGAGGCATGAACAGGTACAGGTCCGGGCTGAGGTAACACAAAGTCATGCTGGGACTTGGAAAGGCCTTTGCTATGGGATGATAGAACATTCTGAAGACATATTCTAGGATGGTGTTTCAAAAGACCATCTCTACAACATATCATGAATCCAGAAACCAGCTGGGTGGGTCACACGTGCTTTTTTATGAAATAAAATAGAGGAGAAAAATAAGACTATGTCACATTAAGGAAGGATAACCATGATTCAGTGCGACTTTTGTTTCAGCCA